TAAATTCTTCTCAAGAAAATACAACAATTTATCTTATCCCAAACATCCCCGTAAGTGGGACCTACCAGCAACTAACTGACTGACTACACTACCAACCCTGGATTTTTCTTTGAACTCAGTAAGTCACCTAGGAAGAATGTCGACCTTGTAAATACTTCGACCAGCCGTCTACGCTACACGTATAAACTAACATTCAGTGATGTTGCATCGCTCTGTCCCCTCTTTGAACTTGACGAAAATTCCAGAAATTTCCAGATAACGCTTGTTCAAAGAAGACTTGGCCAGCACCAGGAAAGACGGATGGAGACCATCCAAACATCAGAAACTGTCAATCACGTCTCATAAACCGTTAATGCCAATCTCTTACTACGCCGGGCCTCACGCTGTAACTCGAAGCCTTTCAGAAACGCTTAGTACTAATGGACGCAAAATCCAGAACACAGATTGGCGACTCGAGAATTCTTTATTCTAACACCAACATATAACCTAGCATTGTTAGCATTACAGACTAAGGTCTAAGAACAAATATTACAACAATGAATCACGATATTACTTCTGACAGTTTTTTCTAGGTTCTTTCTGAACAGCCACCGATGAGACGATGACTGGCAGATTCAACAGCCGCGAAAATTATGGGGAAAATGAGTTTGAGCAAACAACCATGAACTGATCGTTCAATCTTCAACTACATTTACAACATATATGAACACCTGTATTATCAACTTTGGACAGCATTACATCGGACACCGTATTTCACACAGTTCTCTTCTTTGATTATTTTTCTCCAGTGTCTGAAACTTATTATTACGTTTCTGAATTCGTTTACTGATATACTACTCATATCTGTTCATAAATAGTACTCGCCACATTAGTTTCGGCACCACTGTAACATGTAATTAACTGAATATTACCCATCTTCGTATTTGTTGGTTTCCAAATATTTGTTCGTCGTGTCATATCTTGTTGTGTTCTATGAAAATATTTTGCTTGATATGTAAGATTAGGAAGTTGAAACTCCCTGGTATAACTCAGCCTCTACTCTTACACTGTAATCATCGGTGTATTCAGGCTATTATTCTTAATTTCACCCTATCATTATTCTCTACGCTTCCTAAGGAAGATTATATTATATTCATTAGGACTTTGAAGGCTATAAGTAGGGTTAGATACCTAGCTCCGTTGTCAATAATTATTTTACGTCTTGCAAACAACTAGCTAAAATCCTCTTGTCTGATAATCAATATCCGTTTTATTCGCAATTTTCTTTTTGTATCTCTTCACGTGAAACCAGAATAAGTGTCATAACAATCTATTCTAGTAAGGCGAAATATAATTAGTCAACCATGCCACATTTAGCAGAGGTTTTGTGTGAATACATAAACATGTTGGCTGACCCTGTTACAAACTAGGAATATTGGATGATTAGCAGAATTACAAACTAATGTTGAGAACAAAATCTTTGTCATTTCACAATTATTGTAAAGCTTCCTGAATCAGGAAGTTGAATGTTGTTCAGACGTATATATATATATATATTCCAGTCTCTCCTCATAAAACCCTAACAAGCCTATCATGAGGTCATTGTATGTATTCACAAGAAGCCGCATCTAGCCTTTTTTACCTATCACCGTGCTCCTCAAACAACACCATTTATCTTCGCTGGTTGAGATCTTTTCAGGAAGTCAACGCCGACTGAGAATGAGTATCGTGTGGCTGTTTGATTATTATTAATGGGAATATATAAAGGTTTGATTATTTCCCAACTTTATTCGTATTTCTGGTCAAATAAACACTTTACAGGAAGTTCTGAACCCGAGTACGAATCGTTATGCCCCATGTGAACCTTGTACAATTAGGATTTAGATGTTAGATAAATTAACTTGATATGACACACAGTATTGATAACTTGATGATGTTTAAAGCACAGTTTATTGCACATAACTATCTCATGGTATTCACACAACTTCATAACTAACTAGCTTTGAATATTTCCCTTTCCTCCTGTTATTAATCGCAATCAAATCCATTCACAAACTGCTGGTCCAGTGGTCATATCTTTGGATGAATACAGGATAATGCAAGAACTACAGTTTTAGCAGAATAAAATGGTACCATCTTTTATTTCGTTGCCTTCTCGTCAGCTGCTTACATGGCAAAGACATTATTAAATATATCTACAACAACAATTTTAACATACTTGCACAGAGTATCCTCAAAGGTTCATCAACAAGTATGGAAGATCTGAAGTCACAAGAGTAAAACAAATCACAGTGGAAAAAAAGCCAGTCTACCTTCAGCTTGATTATAAAGGTGAAAATATTGCAGTGATGATCAACAGAAGGCTGAGTACATCACTAGCCATAGCGTATCCTGCAGCTAAGCTCGTTCCCGTCTATCGAACAACTTGCTCTTTGGTGCAATCAAAAATCGATAGATATCCTTCTCATGTTACCTCCAACTGTGTATACAAATTTACATGTATCTGCGGGAGCAGTTACATTGGAAGGACAGAAAGAAGGGCATATCTACGATTTTCTGAACATGTACCAAAAAGCTTACGTCTAAAGGGAACAAATGCTTTAAACAGTGCCATCACCAGGCATCATCTCGACACGGGTCATGAGGTGGACGTTGAAAAGTCGTTCAAAATTATCAATAGGTAAAATAGCTCAATTCTCCTTAAGTTTGCTGAAGCCATTTCCATCAAGCGCATGAAACCTGATTTATGCGTCCAGAAAAAAGCGGTTATCAGCCTTTCTTTGCCCTGGTAACTGGATAATTTCACCTCTCTTTCCTCCGAATGTGAAATGCTAAAAATTTCCATTGTGTTTGATTATTATTGTTCGGAATAGTGGTTAATATTGCATATTTATATATGTATATATTTTTAGTGTATGCGTATATTGATCGATTGATTTTTGTTTAAACTGAACTCTGTGCAAGTATGTTAAAATAGTCGTTGTAGATATATTTAATAATGTCTTTACCATGTAAGCAGCTGACGAGAAGGCAACGAAATAAAAGATGGTACCATTTTATTCTGCTAAAACTGTAGTTCTTGCATTGTTCAAATTCATTAAGGGGAATAAATGTATGGAATACAGGATAACTGAAAAACCAGTTTCCTAACCAACATTCTGAATCTTTGTTGACAACCTCGATATCGCTCGCACATAACATGCACGAAATCACTGACATTTTGTCACTGAGAGTTTCCAACCACTCAGCCACACCATCCCGAGCGATTATATTAAAGCCGCTTGCAAACGCCTGTCATCTTCAGAAGCTAAATTTGATCGTCATTCTGACCACTTCCAACATCCTGACATAGGCTCTCGCCGAAGACGACAGCTTAGCCACCTCCAATAATGTGGATTTACGCAACCTCATAAGTGGACTCAATTCACACACCTAGAGCTCTGCAGTCCATCTAAACAAACGGCAAACGAAGTGCATTTATGAGAAACAAATATTTATCCTAAAACAAACAATCCTGAAATTTAAGTGTTAGTTTGTAGGGATTTAATTGGTTACAGGATTCCATCATGAACTGACATCAGTTAGAGAACCACTGGAAAACCTGGGAGAACTAGACAGCTGTTTCGTCCTATTTTGCGACTCTCCATCAGTACGCACCCGACGAGGTTCTAACCCGGGACCTTCTGGTTACAAATCCCTGCAAACCAACACTTAAATATCGACGAGATGCTCACTGGAGACCTGCCCTATTCAGGTGGGGTTCTAGTGAGAAGTCATGACCAATAGGGTGCAGCTGGTCCGGTGTGAAGACAAATACTCGCCCAAGACACTGCCTGGTGGTCGCGCTATGTCGTGAATTGGCAAAAGTTAGGATTCATGGGCCATTGGATCGAGTCCCAGTGGCTTAATGATATACGAGCTCGCTTTGTAACCAGCAGGTCCTGGGTTTGAACCTCGTCGGGTGCGTATTGCCGAAGAGTCCCGAACTATGACGAAACAGCTGTCCAGTTCTCCCAGGATTTCCAATGGTTCTCTAACTAATGTCAGCTCATGATGAAATCCTGTACACAATCCTGATATTAGGGAAATATATAAATGTACTTTTATTTCACAATTCTGCTTTCCACAGGACTGACACAGTTGATAATATCTATCATATGACAAAATATCTATCCTGACACACCTCCCGTGTGACATTTTCCTGTACTAATCATGTTGCAAAAATGCAAGATGAAATCCACCAACACCACATTAGTGAAAGCAGTTCCAATGCTAAGTTTTTGATATAAGTATTAAAACTTGGGCACTGTGGTAGAACACAACTGCATTATGGATAAGATTTTATTTTGATAAATCACACAGTGACATTAACTGATGCTAAATTCTTCTCAAGAAAATACAACAATTTATCTTATCCCAAACATCCCCGTAAGTGGGACCTACCAGCAACTAACTGACTGACTACACTACCAACCCTGGATTTTTCTTTGAACTCAGTAAGTCACCTAGGAAGAATGTCGACCTTGTAAATACTTCGACCAGCCGTCTACGCTACACGTATAAACTAACATTCAGTGATGTTGCATTGCTTCTAAAACATACTCCAATATTCGTGGAGGACCTGTCCAAGACTATACTTTGTCCACGTCTAGAACGCTTCTATCACCTATATAAGCTAGACGTTGAAGTCAAACTATGTTACCTTGACCAATACGTCCTTACTAAAATCAAAAAATAAGCACGCTGACACTAGGTATTGGTAACTATTGGAAACCAATGAAATTGCCATGAAAATATTGCTAGCAGCATTATGCATACACGAGAACTACTCAGAATTATGGATCGCCTCAGTCTTCACCAGCTCACCTGTAAGACCCAACCTAATAATCAGGCGTTAATTTCCTGACAATGACTGAAGTGAAAATTAATAATGCCTATTTATGACTGGATTCATTCGTTTACTGAAGTCTCTCAACACACTAACAATGTGATCGTGAATAATTTTGCACCAGTAGACGACATAAGATTTACAAATGTATATTTTATCAAAACAAACTAAAAGTGGGGACAATTTCAACAGGGGATTCCGACTGAATCCAAACATGAATACTACAAATATAATACAATACTACTAAGAATATTAATAATCTATAAAGTGAAAAACGGAAATTATGATGACAAATGCAACCCGCTTTTTCAGTACCATTCAAAGCTCAATAGTCAGTTTAAAGAATAACTTTGAATCCATCCGAGAGCGACCTGAAATTTGGCGGCCAATTATTATTGATGCGTTACGAAGTGTGTGTTTGATCAATTCCAAAAACAGAATGCACAGAAGTTAAATTATCAGAGTTTTCCCGTCGAAAGACACAAAAGAAAGCACAGTAAATCATCGTTACAAATAAATACACGGACAAACTAAGCTATAATAAAGCGATTAACTTCAAAAATCAATAAAAGGGCTTTATTAAAAAATACCTCTACAGTGATTAGCGCGAAAGTCATTTTCATACTCATATACCGGTTTTATTTCCTAAAATATAGCAAATGTTTGACACCATGAGTGTATTGTCAACGTTCACAAACTGGCGAAGTAAAAGAATAGCGTCCCAGGAGTGCAAACGCTCAAATGACCTTGAACGCATGCTAGTCGTTGGACAACGGTGCCTGTCAATCATCATAGCTGAAATATCAACTCTATTCATTAAAAAAGGAGCAAGTTTCACCCAGATAACGCTTTTAATTACTGTTTGGACAATGTGTTAACATCTCGTTAGGGTTAGGATTAGGGTTAAGGCGAGTATTGGGGTTAGGGTTAGGGATACGGTCATAATTGGGATTAGGGTTAGATTTACGGCAGGATAAGGATTGTCATTTGGGTTAGGATTAAGGTTAGGGCTAGTGTGAAATTTAGGGTTAGGGTCAGGATTTAGGCTAGGGTTGTCGTTTATTTCAACTTGTTTTTTTATCCTCATTTTCCTTGTATGTAGTCGCCAATGCTCTTACTGAAACCATAGTAACTAAACCGAGGGCTTAGGAGAGGACTACACAGCAAGAGAAGAGAGATGAACGATTCACAAAACAGCCAATCTTCAGTCAATTTGGTGAATACATCTACAGAAACTAGTCCAACTTAGCAACTGATACTCTTCATCATAACTGGGACGTGTTTTTAAGTCATGTCAGAAAAAGATAATCCGTTTAATGTGTTTTCATGCATTTTCTTGTGAATATACGTCATTTTTCGTGCAAAAATTCCTCATTTTTATGATTGGCTGCCTGAAGGTCACTCGTGCGTTCGCATCCCTTGGGACGCTATTGTTGAACTTTGCCCACAAACTTATCAAAGAGCGGAGACATGACCAATCCAACCTCAATCGGAGTCCCATGACTACCTGGTCTTCTGGAATGTGCTCATCGTGAAGTGACGCAAACATCAAATGGTCGTTACGCACGTTTCAGAGGAGCTCATCAGAGATGTACTATGTTTCACACAAAATAATCGGGCTAAATAACGCGAATTCCAAACACCTCATATAACAACGGAAGTCACAAATACCGTTGACAGTGCATTTATATTGGTGCTGCGAGTTTCTGATGTACATAGGAAATCATTACCTGCTTTTACTCATCCACTCAACACCTTTCAGGTTCTCACCTGTAGACAGATAGCGTCTAACTGCAAAAAGAAAACGGCTGCCAACGGTCTTTAGTTTGGTATCATGCAACCTCGACGAAAAGAAACCTATTGGACCTGAACAAGTAAACTTATGTGAATCATAAAAAGAAATTTCACATGTGAGTTATCTTGCACTATTTCCATTGATGAGCTTCTCGCTGACTTACTGGTTACCATAGCACGACCAGCATACAAGAATAGTCAATCTGTCATTTCCTCATACAGAAATAGGAAAAACACACTGAGTTACTTATTGTACAGTGTGCGGATGTGTATGGGAGAAACTGGAATTACCACTATTATTCTACGAGACTCGCTATTGACTTAGATTGACTTCCGATCATAGTATCATTTCGGATTTCGATCACCAAAGTGTTGTCCTCTTGATTAGTCAATAGAAATGACGTTTTGAATTACGTCAAAATCACTACCCGCATGATATGAAGTTCACACAGTACAACTAAACGGACAGAAAATTGAACACCCTACTTGAAAGTACTTTTTTTATTACAGCTTGATTTCACACCGTATTTTTGGTACAAGTATGAAATTTTCAGCATATGATATCGGTAGCCCAAATTTTGCAGGCCGACCATAGATATCAGGTGTGCGTCAGCAGGGAGTCGAACCCCTGACCATGTGCATGGTCGGCGAGAGTCCTAAGTAGTCATCTACACAACAATGAGGATATTGTTGATGCATCAAATACAAATGATATTACACTTCAAAAAAGAACAATCTTATATGTATTACGGTGCTACATCGCCTTCACAATATGCAGGCCCGTATTATTTTCCCGTACCTCAAAAAGAATCGGAACACTGCATGTATTGAAGTCACACATGAGAAAGGTTAAACATCATCGTTTTCCAGAAACCTTATTTTTATGTGTTACAGATTTATCACTCGAGAAAGACACCTCTTCTGAGAAAAAATTGAGCATATATATATTACCAACTCAACAACTACCAATGGAATACTGAACTTCACAACAATGTTCAAGTGCCTGGAAAGGAAGGAAGCTTTAGAAAAATGAAATTTTCAAAAATCGAATAAAGTCATATACTACAAGAAATCAGTAAATCGAAACACTGATTATGGTGTGTAACTTACATGAAAACAAAACACATACATAACTATCAAACAACAATGATTATCTTTCAGCATGATTTTGTTACATTGTAAAAGTCCATATTAACTTTGTGCGTTCAATTCAGTTTCCTCTAAAATTAGAAAAAGCAAGTAGTAGACAGATAACTAAAGACGACATGTAAGCCATCTTCAACCCGTTAGACATATAGATGGTAATCGAAGTTAAACAGTCAAAATTCCATTCTTATTTTATGAGAATGAAAACAAAGGATCTTAAAAGCTTGCCAAAGAATACACTTGATGTCATCTACAACAGTATTAGCATAAAAGCAGTCGTCGCATAATAATAGTGATTCATACTACACAGACCTCCACAAAACATATATCTCGACCATTTAAGTGGATTAAATGTCACAACAATACAGGATCATTTTTTCTCCACACTACCATCACCACCACCACCCACTAATACTAATATTCCAAGTCTATCCAAATTCTCATAATCCATGGCATGGAATCCACGAAATATACACTATACTAACGCACTATGTAGTGCGTCGGTGGCACAGCGGTTAAGACGCTTGCTGACCGAGCACATGGTCCGACGTTCGATCCGTGGCCGACGCACTCCTTTACCTCGCTAAACCAGTAATGAGATCGGTCAAAGAGGAGAGGTTGGGTATGAGGCTAGCAACCCCATCCTGTAAAATTAAACACTGCTACAGAAACTTCAAGCCATTAGCTTGAAGCCCTACGTTCTACTGGGAACGTGAAGGAAACAAACGCACTATGTATGAGAAAGGAAAATGTATGTCAAGTTGATTCTATGTCATTATGATCAGTTTCTATTTGAATCCATCTTCCATCTAACTCCTCAGTTTTATGAATATATATATTGACTTATCAGAGTTTATTTCACAAACTTTCAACCAAAGTAATACAACAGTATTTTTACTGAATGAAACCAGATTCTAGAGTAAAGATGTTCACATCTCTGAAGGTAACGCGACAGTGACGCGACACGAAAATAGTTCAAAGTTGAGGATGAAATATTAAAATGTCAGTTATTACATCGACAACTCTCTCATGTTGCATATCAATAAAATCAGTTGAAAAACAGTCTATTAAGTACATTAATAAACCTCAAATGATCACAACGACGATATGTTGTGTAAGCGAAGAATTGTCAATAGGTGAATACAAAGCAAGTCACATAGACAGACAGTTTACTGCATTAAACGAGAGAATTATATGTTTCAGAAGTCTTTAATCATGCACCACATTCAAAATTCTATTAGTAATTGGTGGAAATTAAACTATCACACACTATTCAGCTTGTATGATAACAATCTCTACACTTCCCTCACATATACATCACCACACCACACAATCAACGGAGTTGAATGCTGCTTTTACGTCAAGAAATGTAGCAATTCTCAAATGCCAGTAAGCCACCTTAATTTACAACTCATTGCTATGTTGAGATTACGTCCAGGCCCGAAAACTACATAAGCTCTCCACGCATTTGATGCTTTTCAGACTCAAACAGCTTCGGAATGACCATGAATCTTGAACGGTATATTAGTCAAGTCAGTCAGCCTATGGTCTTATCAAAACAGAATTTATCCCTTTCTTTCTAAATTTACAAGGCAAATGATGCGCACCAGGCTGATGGAGTTACCTTTGATTTCCATACACTAAACAAGTTTCGTTATTCTGGCCGAAACACTTCCAGAGTTCAAGTCGTAAATAAGGCCAATTTGTCTTACATCAAAATACAAACAGGTTTCACAACTCTAGAAGAAACGGAATGACTGGTGCTCACACCCCATACAAACTGGAGTTGAATGGTAGCTAATCGTACTGTAACTCATGGACATCTAAACTACTCCTCCTCAAGCTGCTTGTTCATCTTGGAGACCATTTAACCTACGTGCTGCGCATGCCTAACCACCGCCTCCCCCGACGGGCTTTGCTAGCTGATATAGGTTCAGGTTGGAAAAGAGCCAGTGGTGGCCAAACAAAAACATGGCATCAATCCATGAAATCCTTGACAGTTAAACTGAGTCAGGTAGGGAGATGCAGACTCCCGGGTTGGGGCCCTCGGGACTCTAGGAATCAATGGCTGGAGACAATAGGTGACATGGCTCAAAATCGTTGTCAATGGCGCAGATGTATTCAGTCTCTGTAATCTTTCATATTCCTTTCTACCATTACCCATTCTGTTTCACTCTTATACTTGTCAAACTCTATTAATTCTCTTCACTCATCTTCTTGTCTACCTCTGTGGGCTATTTGGAACGTGGCAACTCGAACTGCTGCACTTCGGTGCCAAGTTCTATGTTGAATTCAGACAGACATTTAACCTACCAGAATCTCTTAGAAACTCGTCTTCTTACTAAGTCTACATAACAGACAGTGACCAAATATTGATCATACCGTTTCCATTTCTTTCTTTTCCGTCATCTACTGTTATTCAAAGACATTACAAAACGAAAACTTTGAGTCAGCTCACTTTTACGCAGTTCTCACTCCTCTTTATGTCCAACCGGAATCAGTCACACATTCAACAGTTTCAATAAAGCTTCTTAGATTCATTGCCTTTTAAAATCTTTAGAGTGCAGGACTCCAACTGTTGGTATCACTGTTTTCACAGTTGCAGTCGACAGGAGATAATCACATGTTTCATCAAGATAACTCCCACTGCCACCAGTGTCTCGTGACTTTGTTCAACCTTAAGAAGTCAAGCTCAAGTATGAAAACTGTGGTGGGGCGGTCAAAATTCGAGCTCGAAAATCAACAGCTAGTTCAAAACCTCTAAACAGATACGAACATACTTCAGTCGGATAGTATAATAAAATAATCACTTTGTTTACAGACAACAGAGAAGAGATGAATAACAAAAGTTGAGGACGTAACAACGAACAAGAGCTTACCCTGAGCCTGTTACATAGCTGTGTAGTTGAAGGATGTTTGGTCCGTGGTTTATTGTCAATGACATCACTTTTGAGGAAGGCGGAAATGGGCCTGTGAACAGAACAAGTGTTTCGTGGTTGCTGAACATATGCAAACTTTTTGGCTATACGCAAACCACTTGTTCTGACACTTGCTGGCGATTTTGTTTGTTGTGACGTTCCGACAGTGATATTTGTAGTTGAATTCACTATGTTGCTATTGAGTTGCCCTCTCTTTGATGATTTGGATGAAGGTTGACTGCTTTGTGAGGCCCGTTGAAGAGATTTTCCATGAAAGATATAAAGTTTATTGAACCACTCTTTATTTGGATTACAAGGATCTTCATAATCTTTGATCATATAAGAATGAATAAAGTTAGCAGTGTTAACATGTGTACTGCGTTTTGCTTTGCAAAAAATTAGAATTTCCACTGAGTGACAATTTGCAAGATAGAAGCGTTGTAAAATAATAATAATAATAAAATAATCCTTTCAACTACAGGTGGCACAGATGAGGATGTTATATCCAGTGAAGATAGAGATAACAAGACAGGAGCGTATGCATCAGAAATCAGATTTATAGGTTTTATTATAAGCAAAAACATTAAAATTCTTAACGCTAATGCGTAATCACTGTTTATTTGTTTTAGAGACTTGATGGAGGTGGTTTTCTGAATAACACTTTTGTTTCCAAACGACATGGTAGGCACTGATCTTTCCTTCGAAATGCATTCTCTCTCATCTGACCACAAGTTCACAGTCCCTGCCAAGAAAGTACTATTCACTACCTTCACACTGAGTGGATGTTCCTAACATAAGTGAAAGGGAAAATGCGAACGTCTTGTGCTTACAACCGAACAGGTGGAAATCCAGGTCTGCCTAGTAAGGCTGAGAAACTTTGATTCCAAACCTACGGTGCACATGTGTTCCAGAATCCACATGGATCAAATGGCGTACAAACCTGTTTCAGTCATTATCAATCATGGGAATGTAGCTCCACTGTCTTGTTGATCAGAATTAAAGTCAAACGCTTAGGGGTGGCCCCTTGGAACAATCATCGGTTCCCGTCTGGGCGCCTGAGCAGCATCCTAGCCGTCGCACAAACAATGAGTTGATAATTAATGACACATTATAACTGGACAGTTACTGCTATAAACTACAATCATATTTCTAGCAAATTGCTCTTCTTTGATTTTAATTTTATACATAGACCATCTTTGAGTTTTATTTCCACTGGATTCAATATCTTTGGTATCTTCACTCTCGTCAGCCTTTCACTGTGTGATTTATAAAAATAAAATCCTATCCATAATAAAGTTATACTCTACCACAGTGCTCAAGTTTTATACTTATATCAAGCCCTTCACCATTGTTTAATTTCTCGGCACTTCTGTACCCTTTAGATTTACCAGTGAGTAGCCTTCAAAATGCTGGTGCAAATTCTAACATGGATATCCTAAAACGGTGTGTCGCGTTCAAGTTTGCCAACTTCAATGTTTGCACAGTGATGCAAAACAGACAAAATGGAGGTCTTTCCAGCACATTAGAAATCCTCGCCATAGATGTCGGCTGCATTCCGGTGACCCCTACTCAATATCCCAGTGAAGTGTTTTAAATATCTCCATCTGGAAGTTAAAATGGTGTGTGCCACCTGAGCTTATCTGGGTCAGTGTGGAAACGACATCCAGCGAAGCTGGTATCGGTGTCGTACTTAGCGATAGGATGGAGGTTGCACTACTTGATTGGATCGCCACTAATACTTATTTATGTGCTTTGATGCTTCAAGGTTATACGAAAGCAAGAAGCGTTCGACTAGAAGGGCGGTGCATATTTGTTATATCTTCCTATGGGCCAACGGATTAGAACCCGGAAACAATTAAAGGTGCGAGTTTCTAAGACCGGTGCATCAGAGAGATATCGTATCGCTTTTTTGTGACTTGAATACACAAGTCTAAGCTTAGACGAGAGTCATCTAGGTGGTCAGCAGGCTCTATATGGTCGCAGATAATGTGATGCGGACCGTCTTCTGCTGCTTTGAGCAGATCACAACCTATTTCTAGCCAGTAACAACTTGCGGTACAGCCGTCGCCGTACCTCTACCTTGAGTTTTACCTCTACCAATCAAGCATGACCTCAAACTGTTCACACTGATGCCAGTTTCTAATGGCATAGATTTATACATGACTACCGCTGCTTATGGAGCATATACCTGGAATCCCATCATGCTTTAGTGTGCCAGATTCTGATTAGGTGGTGTTTATAAACGACGTCTTCTAGAAGCTGATGCAAGTAAATTGGTAGCACCCGTCACCTTCGCGAAGTACCGGACAGTTGAAGTCAAGGTTAGTTAGCAATGCTCCATGTAGTATAGATTAAGATTGGCTACACCTGTAAGACGTCCAGAAAGTGACAGGTGAAGCCACTTGAGGATTAGAAGAATGCTCCGATAAAAGCCACTGGGTTTCTTCGAGTGCCTTGCAACTTCTGAATGAGCACCGGTCGATTCCGGAAGTCAGCGAGTATAACAATATACAAAAGGCGCTTACACATAAGCTTGAACAGAGCTTACGCAAGGAACTCAATGCCCTGGTGGTCACAATGTGCGTGTGAGATGAAATCGGCGGCTGCCGCAACAGCTGGAAGCCATTCTAGCTCATCAGAGCCATCGGCAGCTAGACCGTCTATAGGGCAGGTGGTATCGCGTCGATGGCACAGTGGTTAGGACTCTCGCCGACCATGCACATGTTCCGAGGTTCGATCCCCTCCCGACGCACACCTGATATCTATGGTCGGCCTGCAAAATATGGCCTATCAATATCTATGCTGAAAATTCCATACTCGTACCAAAAATACGGTGTGAAATCAAGCTGTAATCAAAAATAAAATAAAAAATACACCAATTACCAACCGGAAAAGATGCATGGGACACTGGATGGAGCACTGCGAAAGGCAGTTCAGTTGGTCAATAGCACCAGCATCCAACATCACTAACTGCAATGCTTCAGGGTCGGTCAGTACCGACTTACCAGACGAAGCAGAGGTCCAAAAGGACCTCCAAGTGTTGAAACACCTGACAGAAAACCACAGAAGCTACTGCCGTCTCTTTTTAATGGTGGTGGAGATATTTTCGTCAGGAAACTATGGGAAAATGAGTGTTCGAATAAAGCCATTATCGTGCCCATCTTTGAAAAGGTCGACGTAATACGTGTAACAATCATAAAGGTATTGGCTTGCTGTCAGTCTTGACTAAAATGTTGGCTCCTGTCTTGCTTAGCAAGTTGTGCGAAACACGTGAGGAACTGACTCACGAAGATCAGGCTGAGTTTCGTTCAGGCAATGTTCACGTGTCCACCCTTCGTCATTTTCTTGAACGCTGTCAGGCATATTGCAGGTCAACAATCGTTGTGTTTCTTGATACAAAGGCTGCCATGAATTCTTTGGATAGAACTGCTCTCTGGAACTGTATGTTAGAGAGAGGTGTACCTGAAAATTTTTTTAACACCCTTAAAGCTTTATACGAAAACACCTCAGGTAGAGTGAGGGCATACAACGAGCTATGATCATTGTGCCAAACTTTGCCATCAATGACATTCTGGAGTCAGCTTTGAAGGATGTGCGTGGTGGTGTTGATCAGCTTCCTGGAGAAGGACTTTTCGACCTCGAGTATGAAGACGATGTTATCTTACTTTTCGTTAACACACAGGCATGGCATCGTCGTGAGTAAGTCTGATGTTTAGGAACGTGTGTTTGAACACGGTGGAGGTCACCATTCATTGAGTGTAGTCATCTGGAAACAGCGACTTCGCTACTTTGAACATATGCTACGAATGTCATCCTACAGACTTCCATACCGCTGTCGGTTCGTTAGTCCTGGGATTGGATTGAAAAAGTGGAGACGCGGCCGGCCTACGATGCGACACAGTAGGATGCAGGGTATTTGTGTTAAGTTAGAATCAGTTGGTAAATCACGACCACCTGGTTGGAATCCGAGAGACGATTTCAATCGGTGGTTGGAAACTTGACCAGATATGACCAAGAATTGCGATCAATGGCGAACATCCTCCTCTTTCTGAGAGCCATATGAAGTGATTAGTGTTGGATTATCTTAGCCAATATGTTTGCTTGCTTTCTCGGTGACGTCCCACATTCACTCTCTTCTTATTCCCCTTATATATTGTTGGAGTATTATTGTTGTTTAGCGCATCTTTGAGTGTCTATATTTTAACAAGTTTGCATTTTAAATAAAATAGACTTGGTACTTGCGTCACTACAAGTATTCCCTAAGGCCTGTTGCAGACCTCTCATCAATAGAAGATACCTTCCATCGCTCGATAGTGAAGATAAGATACCCGGCCAGAAATCATAGGCAGCAAGGAATTCTGGTAGTCGGCGAACCAGCCAACAACCTATTGCCCGACAAATATTCACAAGGAAATCGACATAGATTGAACACTCTCTGAAATGTATGCAAGTAAAATCCCACTCCTGACCTCTGAGTAGGAAGCGATGGGTTTGACTTCAAAGGTTTACATGCAAAAAGATCGATGTGAAGAAGAAATGAGACCTAGTGAGCGGACGTGGAGTAAGCAGAATATGAGGGCATACAACAGAATACGATGGAATTTTTCTAGCAAAACCTTATGCCCAACTAAGGACCCAATCAATAAATAATATAACAGATTTGTCATGTACCAGGCTACGAATCAAATCCACTGTGAGGGCTGAAGATAATATCCAGTTACTCAAGATGAAGTTGTGCCATTCAGCCAATAATAATAATCGATTTAAACAATACTGACCACAAATTTATTTAATAGGATTTAGGTGACGTGTTTCCTATGATATAAAAGGACAACATATTCAGCATACTCAAAGTCATGTCGTCTCTCTACAGACAGTCGATCTACACTATTATTGCCACCCCGTCTTACTTGTCCCCAAAATGTCACAGATACATATAAGGGTTGAATAAGCCTGTCTAGTTGCAGCTCTCGTTAAAAACAGTGCAGACAGGTGTTCATATGCGTCGGTGGCACAGTGGTTAGGACTCTCGCCGATCACGCACATGGTCCGAGGTTCGATCCCCTCCCGACCCACACCTGATATCTATGGTCGGCCTGCAAAATGTGGCCTATCAATATCTATGCTGAAAATTCCGTACTCGTACCAAAAATACGGTGTGGAATCAAGCTGTAATCAAAAATAAATAAATAAAAATACTTTACCTGAGGTATACATTTTTATATGAAAAGCCTTAAAAATATTCATAAATATTTGAAAGACATGTCACTGACATATTTATGAAGAACAGTCTTGAACCGCTAATCTCAGATAGAATTGATGTGAAGAAATACGACAACAAGTGGTCTGCAGTACGAGTAACTGTTTTCCACCTGGCCGATAACTGCTACCTTGTCGTGGTGGTCGGGATTGAATACCATAATGATCCAACATGCTAAACTGATTGGGACTCTGTCCCTGCAGGTCCTACCATGTCAGGAAGGTTGTTTGGATAGCGGTTAAACTAAAAGCAGTTACCATGGGGTACATGGGCTCCAGTATCCAATGGCGTATGAACCCATATGGGTCACCGGAAACCATGGAAACGCAACTCCTGACGCTCCTCCGCTGCCTTGCGGATTAGACTCCAAGCCAAAGGCTCCGGGGGTAGTCCCTTAATAAAACCACTTGCTTCGATCTGGGCGCCCGGGCAGTACTCAGCCCTCACACAATGAATTGAATGAAGCAACAAACAATCAATGAAACTTATCGCGTGCTATTACACGTGTTGCCATTTCCTTCTTTCTTCCCTTCCCGATGATAGTTAACGAATACTGTTTGAACTTGTTAAGCATGACTGTTTTCCTTACAGATGAAGTTCTTCATCCGTTCTCTACTTATATATATATATATATATATATATATATATATATATATATATATATATATATATATATATATATATATATATAGTTTTATTATTATTGTGTGGCGCACTTTTCTTGGTGCCACATTGTACCAAGTTTTTATGTGTTTAAATAAATAAATAAATAATAAATGACTGTTTTCCAACACTTTACACGAAATGAGAACATCACCATTGTATCTACATCATGAAGAAAACTCAGCCTGTTAGTATTTTGGATGAGATTGCTAACTGAAAAATACCCGAATGACTGAGGCAAGTGGGCATCAAAACTTGATAACTGCTGAAAAAGTAACTACTCGTAAAATCTTTGAATGAATATTTGATGAAAGAGACACAAAAATGACAACAAATCAAAAATCCTACCTAATCAGAGTATGTTAAAATGATAATTAAGAGAATAATGCGTAAGACTGATAACACCAAAAAGGTTAGATTTCAATCTCACGATTAGAATGGCCTTCATTGAATTGAAACGAATCAGGTTTGATTTGCTTATACAACATCATTAAAACGACCTAAAATCACATAAACACAATTATCTTGTATCTATTACTTAAAATCTACGAACTTACAAGGCATCAAATTTAGTTGAATCTACTTAGAAATGTAAATTAGAGCTTTCATCTAATGTATGTGCTTTTGGTAAATGCATGTAAGTTGAAAGATATGTATATATATATATATATATATATATATATATATATAAGTTGCTGGCTTTAAAATGAACGGGAAGACGAAAGTGTAATAAAACTTAGAAGCTGTTCTATAAATCAACTTACCATAATTGCATAGAAATTTAATAAAGTCAGACACTAAAGGAGGTTGACCTGTATGATCTTGCCAAACTTCTGATGGAAAATTATCATGTGATTTCAAAAACATCTGAAAATCCCGATGACAATCACCATTACTAACGCATTTCGATGCACTATCGTTAAGCTCTACAACAACAACAAAATAACACATGGAAATGTGAGTATTTTAAGCATTTAAATTGCACACGCAATTACGAATACAAAGATATATACAACAGTACATTTCTGACGACAAGTCGTTGAAGTATTCTAATACAACATTTAAGAAAATTCAAAACATTGTGTTTCTGTTGTCGCGTAAAGGTCTTGGTAAACGAATAGCGAGAGCACTGAAATAAAATATTGATGACACTATAATAGAGTAATTTTACTGAAATAATAGAGTCACTTTATGGCTCAGGTGGATGATTTTGATTGGCGAAAAATAAAAAATTCTTCACGACACGCGAAATTGTGAAAATAATTTTATTTGATACGACCCTCAGTTATACATGATTGTCTGATAAGGACGTTTCAAGAATGACATTCAATGCGCATCCTGTCAAAAAGGGTCAAAGAACACTATCTAGCGTGGCTGCAGAAAGGAAGTAATGACCGTATAAGGAGTGCAATAATCGAACATCTCGTCAAAACTGGTCATCCCATCTCAACAAACGACTCTTCCAAAGTAATCTCCAAAGTGAAGAACAACCTTCCAAAGACAATATGATTCCGTTTTCTTTGCATCGCAGAAGACCTAGCCATTCAGTTGGAGGAACGAGAACTGTGCATACAAAAGAAAATTATTCAACCACTTCTACTCTCATGGTAACAACTCCGTTGATTCGACTTAACTTTTGTTTGTTTGCTAATTTTTCTAACTACTTAAAAACCCTTGTGTAATCCCGTATAGTATTTTGTTTCCAGGTACACCCTGAGCACAACTCTTTCATCAAACTATTCACGCCATCAAGTAACTCTTATTTAACAATCATTTATGACAACTCATCACTTTTGTTACTACCCTCTTATATCAACATTCAATTCATCTGAACTTGCTGATTGTATTTTCGTTTGACAAATTTAATGTACACACACATACAAAACAATATATATATATATATATATATATATATATATATATATATATATATATATGCGATTGTACAGCTATGAAAATGAATTCGCCGAAAAGAGACTCTTAGCTGAACTACTAGTCTTCTGTCTATTAAAGTTTCAAGAAAAGTTTATTGCTCATAAGCTATAACAAGCAACTCAGAAGACTTCCAGATTTCTTATGCTTTGATTTTATAGGCAAGAATATTCCCCATATTATGGCATCCATGCTGCGTCATTCTTACTGCACATATTTAGCGGAGATTCGGTTAATAGAGATTCAACGATTTACCTCTCCCTTCAACTAACTACATAACTTTTTAGAACTGCCCCCCCCCCCCGTTTGACCCAATTGTGGGATCGTGTTAATGCATGCATCGCAAACACCTGAAACAGAAATGACAGTGTTAATACTAGAGATGTGGGACTTATTATTACCCATAAATTCATAGGATAAGAAGTTTGAAAGTTATGTGAGCAGCTTAATATGATTATGAGCAATAAATTATCCTCAAAACGTCGCCAGTAAATAACACTGCATCATTGCAAGCTTTATCAGATAAAATTATTCACTTGTGGAATAATATCCTACTACAGTGACCATATATTCTGACAATAATAGTAAGAATAAGAATCTACAAATCAGCTTACTCAAGACTTCAGTACAATGAGGATGAGATGTTGAAAAATTGGTGGTTGCATTTACAGTCTTTAAACTGACGACGTGAACCAAACAAAAAAATAACAGTATGTATCAAGTGCATATGCGGGAACACTTAAACAGGAAAAAGATCACTTAAACTGAAAATTCTCATCCGCATATAGGCATATACTAAGATAGAAGAGTCCCAAAATAGACTTCAGAGTTAAACACCTTTTGGATTAGTTTGCTTGGAAAAATAGGTTTTATCGTTGTTAAGAGTATATCAGAGTTAACAAACAATTAGTAGTTTGAAGCGCAGGGGAAACATATGGAAACTCGTAAAGGTAGTAACAAACTAAAAGCAAACTTAGTCACATATGCATATAAACAAAAACATGAAAAGCAAGAGAACACAGCTAGCTGACTGATATACAGTTGGACCAACAATAAGCAAAAGAATGGGCCGACTAACGTGAACGAACTGTTATACAAAAACATGCTATCTCAAAAACCATGAAATTAACTGTGGAAAAGAATAGATTCCAGTAGAACCACACAAAACAGCCAAATTAACACTGAACTCTTCGAAAATGATCTCTATCTTGAAAACATAATTCATCAAAAGCGAAATGTAGAGTTTAAATCACAGTATCACACAGAACAATTTCTCATAAGATGTGTATGATGCATTCGACGCATACAGATGGAAGAGTCTTCAGATATTAAATCTCATGTGGTTGGTGTATTGAATCTGCACTCGAATAACAGATAAGATTCCAGTCTCTTAAGCCTTCCCAAAGTCTTAGTCCTGATGGCGTACCTGCCGTTGTCCTGAGGAATTGTGCTGATATCTTGTTACCCTCTTACTAACATTTTTAATGCTTCCTTTTCCGGTGACGTTCTACCTTCTCATGGAAAAACATTGAAATTATCCCCATACCAAAACCATCTTCTGGTACTGGTATTAAATTTAGGCCCATTGCAATTACTTCTCCTTTTTTAAAATTGATGGAAAAATTACTTTTACTATGTGTTGAACCTTCATTGAAACTTTTTAATGATCCTAAACAATTTGCATACAAACATGGTAGAAGTACCTTGGATGCTGCGATTTCCTATATCACAATGTTGTTTCTTGTTTAGACAAAGGTGCCAAATATGTTCGTAGTGCTTTCTTAGACTACACTTCTGCTTTTGACTCCGTACCTAGAGGCCTTTTACTAAATAAGCTTTCGTTGACACAAACAGGATCCTGGGCCAAGAGTTGGTTGCATTCCTATTTTTCTGATAGAATGCAGTATACTGCATATAATGGCAAATCTTCCTCTACTTCGCTTACAAAATCCTGTGTTCCTCAAGGTGCCGTCCTCTCTCCTTTTCTTTTTCCTTCTTCCTACACAACCTGCCTCATTCAAACGAAACTAACTTTGTCAAACATGCAGATGATCTGACTGTATCACTGCCTATCACTTCCGAGTCTGACTGCTCCAAACTTAATAGCTTTCTGTTGGACATCAGCAAGTGGTTTAAGTCAAATGGTCTTATGTTAAATCCTTCCAAATATCAGGCAGTTGACTTTACTTTCAAGTATCGACGTGACTTACATGAACTAGTTAGTCCGCATGATCCCTGTAGCATAGATGTCACGGCAATTGAAACCAAGTCAACCATTAAATACCTTGGATTAGTTCTTTCCTCTGACCTTTCATGGTTATCCCACATCCTATCTATCTCTAAGAAAATGTTTCGTCTTACCTTCTACATTAAAAAGTTAAGACAATCAGGTATCAACCAACCTTTAGTTTTGCAATTTTTAAACTCCTGTATTTTACCTATTGTATTCTATCGCTCTCCATTAATCTTTCCTGGGCTTCTCAAAAAAGACTATATCATATTACTAAGAGTATTTAAATGCTGTGAGTAGGGCTTGTGGTATGCCAGTGTGTGAGCTCGCTAATACTATAGTCGAGAGACACATAAATTCCTCTACAAAATGGACAAAGGCTATACTGTCAGACCCTCTGCACCCCCTTTATTCACACCTATCCCCTTGTATCTCATCAGGTAGGACGAGAAGTCAATATAAAAAGTCATATGCTCGTACCACTAAGTACAGAAATCCTACAATACCCTATTTAGCCCGTACTTTATGTGACGAAGACTCTGTTAGACGTGAAACACATAAGTTACCATGTAATTAGCACAGTGAACCGACCCTTTCATTGTTCATCTTTCTGTATTATGTGGTGTCACACTCTCTATCATTTAATTATACCTTTGCTATTTTATTTTAGTTATTACTTTTATTACTACAATTTTGTACTTTATGCATACTTTTCTCCGTATTGCATACAGTAATTTGCTATGTAGTTGCTATAACAACGTTTTATTATTATTATTATGTTTTACGAGTTGATCACGGATTGATATCAGTTAGAGAACCATTGAAAACCAGGGAGTACTGGACAGCTGCTGTTTCATCCTAGTTTGGTAATCATCGGCAGTACGTACCCACTGGGTTTCGAACCCAGGACCTTCCGGTTACAAGGCAAGCTCGTATACCATTCAGCCACTGGGACCCGATTCAATCGCTCATGAATTCTAACTTCTACCAATTCGTGATTTAGCGCGACCCCAACCATTGTCGTTGGCGGGACATCCATCCACACACGTGACATCTAATTGGACCTCACTGGTCACGACTTCTCACTAGAACTCAGGAAACTCCAACCTGTAGCAAGTCACTAGCGAGCATCAGATTAACTTTCTATAGTTTTGGTTTGTAAGGATTAGTTATGTTTTACAAGTTGATCACGGATTGATATCGCGCTAAATCACGAATTGGTAGAAGTTAGAATTCACGAGCGATTGAATCGGGTCCCAGTGGCTGAATGGTATACGAGCTTGCCTTGTAACCGGAAGGTCCTGGGTTCGAAACCCAGTGGGTACGTACTGCCGATGATTACCAAACTAGGATGAAACAGCAGCTGTCCAGTACTCCCTGGTTTTCAATGGTTCTCTAACTGATATCAATCCGTGATCAACTCGTAAAACATAACTAATCCTTACAAACCAAAACTATAGAAATATTATTATTATGTAATATTTATTTTTATATTTTTTGTCGTTTTCGAGTAAATTAGATGCAATATTGTACTGAATGCTGAAAATTCCTTGGTGTATCATTAGTACCGTTTTTGGAATAAAGCAAATTCTCATTATCATTATCATTATTTTACCCACATTGAGATATTATAATGCCATGAAAATCAAACTCTTGTCCAAAGTCACTGACCTGCAGGTACATTTCCATCTCGACCAACGTGCTTCGTGACAAAACCTCAAGTATACGGGAGGATTAAAGAAACACTACACGCCAATCAAAGCAATCTATCCCAACACATAAAGTTGTGTAACAGTTCACTAAAAGTCCTCATCTTAACTAATCATAACCAGTCGCATTAGTCAATGATACTTGATGCTAACACCCCCCCCTCCAAAGCCTCAGGATGGTCGGGGGTGGGTGCCTTGCGCTGCGGGTTGGCCACCCCTCTGCACACCTCTTGAAATGCTCCCATATGACCGGGCGTCTTACACAGCCTCTCCTGAGGAAGTCCTACTCACTGCCTTCACGTGGCGGAGGTGTTTCTCACCAAAGTGAGAGGGCGAAAGCGGATGCCTGGCGCTCTCCACCGGGTTGACTGTCCATTGGATGACAGTCTAGGGGAGATGGCTAAACCCTGATTCCAAACCTCCAACGATTGGCGTATGTAGCTCACTGGAGCTCACCGGCAGACGTATGGACAAAGGGCTTGTTGGATGTCCTGGATGTCTGGCCCCATTCAAAAAGGCGTATGAACCGAACTCCGGTCATCGTCTGCCAATGGATAATAGACTCCTTACTCCACTCCTACTGCCTTGTAGGTCACACTTGGTTGTGTAAAGGCTAGAGCTGCACTCTCAAACAAAAGGCCGAGCGATTCTGGGGACATCACTCGTACCAAATTCCCATGAAACTTCATGAACTCTCTTACAAATTGCCGCGCCTGGGCAGCGATGATTTGAGACGTTCATGAAGCCGGCTCATCCTCCCGTAGGAGATAGCCGAAGTAAAGTAAAAAAAAAAGATGCTAACATATTCACTGCAGATGTACTGATGAATGTAACTTTGGCCGACTTCACAGTCTCATGGATTAACCAGTTATCACGAAAACAGATAAGTAACTCACAGTAGGGAAACGATATAACCATTTCAGATGAAATAAAGCCTTCCAAGTATCCTGTCGATAGATGAAGACATCATCAATACACTCCATTCCTAACCTAAAGCCCGAACAGGTTCTCCAGTGTTTGTTTCTCCCGATCACCGCTCGGTCTGCACAGGACCATTATCTTAGTCAAGCTAATCCTCCATGATTATCACAGGAAGAATTGACTCCTTTTTTACCCACTCCCAGGCCGCGTGTGACCGGCCTCAAGCAGTTGTCCCCTGGGCTCTGCGGTCACGCAACCAACTTCCACGGTGTGGGCAGCCGGGAAGTAACAATCGCCCTCACAATCCGAAATGCACACGAAACCTCTCTATTACTCACTCATCTTTGTCTTCATCTTCATCTCTATCATCTTGCCTTCCTTCCACTGATGCAACTCCTCGACTTGATAGCTCTCCACTTCCTCTCCACTCTGCGTCCACTAAAAACGATGGAAGCCAAAAAACCACCACCGACAGCCTCTTAAAGCCGCGCCACCAATTTCATATAGGAGCTCTTAATGTTAGGACACTTTGCCAAATAGGACAACAAGCATCACTAGCCAAGACCCTGGCATCACGAGCCATTGATGTATGCTGTGTTTCAGAAACACGCATACAAGACCCAAGTGTGGTTATTCACCTAACCCCACCTGGCCAACAGGTTGAATCTGCAAAATTCACCTTGAGGGTGTCAGGAGATGCCACAGCTAGTTCACGAGGATTAGCTGGCGTAGGGATAGCTTTGAGTACTAGGGCAGAAAAGACATTGCTTGACTGGATCCCGGTAGATAGCCGAATGTGTGCTGTCCGCCTGAACGGATCAGTAAGAAGGAGGAAGGACTGCACTACTCGCCGATGCCTTTTCGTAATCTCCGCCTACGCCCCCACTGACTGCAGTTCAGATGAAACGAAGGATGAGTTCTACCAAAAGCTGTCTAGTTTGGTGGAAAGGCTAAACGCTCAGACATAGTCGTTCTAGCTGGTGACTTTAACGCTCAAGTAGGGAAATTGTGTCAATCTGAGAAGGATGTCGGTGGCACCTATGGAGTTCCGTGCCAGCGAACCGACAACGGTGACCGTCTCCTACAGTTCTGCTCTGATAATCATTTGTTTCTTGTAAGCACTAACTTTAAACACAAGGAGAGACACTGTTTGACTTGGAGACCCCCTTCATCAAACCAACGCTGGACACAAATAGACCACATAGCAATAAGCTATCGTTGGCGTGGGTCGGTAGGAGATTGTCGCTCCTTCTGGAACACGTGCGTAGATACCGACCATGCACTGGTCCGCGCTCGGGTGTGCTTACGACTGAACGGACGTAGGAAACAGCTGGCGGTAAAACCATCACGTCCCCAGCTCGATCAGGAAACTAAATCCGTATTTCAGGAAGAACTAGCTAAACACATATCTGTGTTCGACAGCTGTGCTCACCCTGAAGAAGCTTGGAAAAATATCCAGGCAGCCATAGATACAGCTGTAAAAGCTGTGAATAAGGTAAACCCAAAGGTGAGTAAAAACCACTGGATCTCCACCGCCTCATCCGAACTGATAGATGCTAGAAGACTTATTCCGGCGAGCTCCGAATTCAATGAGGAGCGAAAGCTGCACAAGAGGAAACTTACGAAAAGTCTCCGCAAGGACCGTGAACAGTGGTGGGCGACAAAAGCCAAAGAGATGGAGAAAGCTTGAGGATAGGCAACACCAGGCAACTCTTTGGACTCATCAGGGAAACGGGTGGGAGAAGACAAATCATCAGTGAGACAATCTCGGAAAAAAATGGCACTATAATTAGCTCCAGGATAGACGACTGGATCGTTGGAAAGAGCATTATGAGGAGCAGTTTAATTTGCCCACAGCCACGCTCAACCTTCCGAGCATCCAACACCTCCCTGAATGGGATATAGACACAGGTCCTCCGTCACTAACTGAGGTTACTAAAGCTGTCACCAATCTGAAACTAGGCAAAGCAGCGGGACCTGATGGAATGACGCCAGAGGTATTTAAGTACGGTGGAGACAGCTTACTGTCCGGATTAACTGAGGTACTAGGCAGCGTCTGGGAATCAGAAGAAGTCCCATCGGGTTGGTGTAAGTCACTGATTATCCCCATATACAAGAAGGGAGACAAGTCTTCCTGTGATAATCACAGAGGGATTAGCTTGACTAATATAGTATCTAAAGTCTTAGGCTCAATAATCATGCGTAGACTGAGTGGTGCTCGGGAAGCACAAACACGAGAGAGCCAGGCAGGCTTTAGACCAGGAAGAGGGTGTATTGATCATATCTTCACCCTCCGACAGATTCTAGAACATAGGCATTCCTACCGGCGTCCAACAGTCATTATATTTCTTGACCTAAAGGCAGCATTCGACTCTGTCGATCGGGAAGTTCTCTGGAGATGCTTGGCTGTAAAGGGAATTCCGAGAAAATATATTGCACTGATTAAGGCACTCTATTCGTACTCATACAGCCAGGTGAGGGCTTACGGCGAGCTGTCATCTGAACTGATGACGACCAGTGGTGTCCGTCAAGGATGCCCATTATCTCCTTTTCTATTCAACTTCATCATAGATGTGTTAATGGACTTAACCCTAGGTGACTTCAGCGACTCAGGGATTGACTTGCTACCGGGGAATAATCTCGTTGACTTGGAATATGCAGACGATATAGTCCTTCTAGGCGAAGACGCTGACGAAATGCAGAGTCTTCTAAACACCTTGAGCCGCAATCTACGAATGTTTGGCATGCGATTCGCTCCCGCCAAATGCAAGATGATGTTACAGGACTGGACTACATCGACGCCTAGTTTAAAAATAGGAAGTGAAGTGGTAGAGCACGTTGACCGCTTCACTTATTTGGGAAGTACCATCAGCCCCAACGGGCTGATCTCTGACGAAATCTCAGCACGAATACAAGGGGCTCGTTTCGCATTTGTTAGTTTACGCCGACTCTGGCGTAGACGAGATGTTCGACTATCGACCAAAGGGCGGGTGTACTGCTCATCAGTCCGCTCCGTCCTCCTTTATGGTTGTGAGACCTGGCCACTGAGAGTGGAAGACATGAAAAGACTAGCTGTCTTTGATCATAGGTGCCTGCGTTCTATTTCCCGTGTAAAGTGGCATAATAAGGTGAGCAACATGGAGGTTAGGCGTAGAGTTCTAGGTAAACAGGGGAAATCAATCGACGAAGTCGTGAAGCTACAAAGACTGAGATGGTTAGGACATGTGTTACGTATGCCAAGCCATCGCCTCCCTCGACGAGCAATGTTAGCGGATATAGGGTCAGGCTGGAAAAAAGCTAGCGGCGGTCAAACAAAAACTTGGCATCAGTCAATGAAATCCACAACAGTTGGTCTAAGCCACGTAGGAAGGTGTAGACTTCCAGGCTGGGGTCCTCGGGACGGTAAAAATCTATGGTTGGAAACAATTGGTGACATGGCTCAAAATCGTTCTCAGTGGCGCAGATGCATCCACTCCCTGTGACTTATGATCTCCAATGAAACTGTTTTGTATTTCTTTATTACTCCTTTGTCTCACACCTCTGCTCACTGTTTCTATTATGCTTTTCTTGTACTTTCTTCTCTTGCTTCGCGTGCTACACGGAATGTGGCGACTTGAACTTCCGCACATTTGTGCAAAGTTCTATGTCGAAAACAGACAGACTCCCATAATCAATCATTTACACCAGTTCCACGGATCCATCTCTGATTCACAGAAACCCCTTAATATCTTAGTTAATCCAAACAACACTTCATCACTACCCTCCTTAAGCACATCTGGAGTTATCCCATCACGTCCCGCTGTCGATAGTCATAAACCTACGCTGACAATTTCATCATGATTATTGCCAAAAGGCTTAATGGAAAAAAGCACATTTTTCACAGCACAACTTATCAGTTTGATAAGACAATTTCCATACTGAAGTAATATGACAAAACACACACTCATACACACCACTGTGACTAAATTACTTTACTAGTCAGCAGAAAACAAAAGACACTTAACATATCACAGAAACAATACTGCACATGATACCCTCGTTTACTCAACCGAAAATGTATTCCTTCGAAAGCAAAGTGAAAATTATGTAAATCTATACATACCTTTGGCGGGGATTACTGGACTAACTGCAGCGACTAACGACCTTCGTTTTACCTTCAAAGTCTGTGTTCGCGATTTCTTCGGAGAGCTGCAAGTAGCGTATTTATCAATACTCTCAGACTTGAAAGATTCTTTTCCTATGGGTGATGAACACGAATTTCTTTTTCCAACATTTTTTCTGCAAACAGTGAATTACAGTAATTTATCATTGCAAAGAAAAACAAATAACAAAAAAATAAGAATGACCCACCAGTATGCATATAGATGCTCATAAAAAGCATAAATTTTACACCAACAACACCTATCATCAATAGAATGTTCCCACCTCAGATAAGCTTTAGTACACCTAGATATCTAGCAATACATTTAAACTATAACAGTTCAACAGCTATCACCACTGTTCAATAGCCATCATACCGCACATCACCATATCGAGTAAAAGGCAATAAGAGCGCATCAAAATGAAACCATGGATAATAAGAAGACAGTATGTGGTAGAAAAAACGCATCGTGAATATGCAAACAGGAAATATTATATTAAAAGGAAGAATAAAGTATGAACACATCAGCGCTATTGCGAGTAATTCCAAGGCATGGTTTGAGGTAGCCATGTGGATTCCAAACATGCAATCTACTCTTCCATAAACTGCATAGGTTAGCTGTTAAGTACTGAATGGACTTCCATCACATCTAGGTGTAGCCAGTTCAGCCGCCCCACCAGTTTAATCCTACTTCATTTAATACAGCACGTCGAAGTAAATGGTTAGTAGGCACACCCAAGCTACATCACATGATAGATGTCTATCATGGAAAATTCCCATTGGGACATATAAAACAACCGAACAAGTGAGTCAGCGAAGCGACTCTTTTCAACAACGAATTTATTATCAAACTGTACAACCGCACATATATGGCTTTTAAGAGATTATATCCGGTGAGGCAACTGAATCATCGCTGTCAATGCATAATAATATAATAATAGGACGAAATGCAATTAAAATGTTTGTGATTATAATCATAGTTAAGTGTTAAGTGGCAAAACAATTAATGCCATATATAGAATAATTCATAGGATATATCACATTATCCTTAACTGCTTCATCTGTTTTACTTAACAACACATTACCTAGTTGATGCCTGAATCACAGGTACTAATCAAATATCCACAGCCTTTACAGACTCCCCACATGTATCAGTCATTCTTCACATATGGGTAAATAGACCATCGTATAGACCGTATTGCTGTAAACTTCACTCTATCACAAGTTAGGAACCAGATAACTCGACCTGCTTACAGCAAGAACATATTAAATGTACACTGAGAAAATTTACCGTCTACTAATATTTGTACTGCAATAATCGGAATTCGCATTATTGGAAGCGGTTATCGAAGTACGACGACGACTACAACCAGGTGAGGCGATAGAAGATATTCCACCGCTCCCTTCATATGCTCTTGAAGAACCAGACGCTTTTCTGTTGGTACTGTTGGCATCACCCATTTGGTTATCCACATCAGAAATTCTAACCAAACTTCTTCTATTGGGCAGGTCGCGCAACCGAATGCGGCTAGTGTTTTGTGGAATTTTGACTCTGTCTGATTGATTCTCCACAAAAGCTGACTTGATCTATAAAGGAACCGTAGACAAAGGGTGAGATAATATTAATCGACACTTTTCAACAATCGCACATTTGATTCAAAACACTAACCACACTGATCACAAATCACAGATTGTGTGAAAACTAGATATCGAGGAAATCAATCGACTCATATAATCGAAAATACACATTCGATATCGAATACTTCAACTCCAGATAAACAACATACAATGAAGATACTGTGTACTCATTTAGAGGAAGATAAGGTTAAAAAGAGCACAACAGAAATTGCAGACAGATGATAGATAAGAATGTGGTATTAAAACATCTGACGCAATGATAACAGTTATTGAGATATACGAAGTTTACACGGTCTAACACTTACACTGGCTTTATCACCGCTGACTGGGAGAGAATTTAACAGTTCTTTTTTCTGAAATTTTGTTCTTAAGTCAGTTTCCGTCAGGTTGACATCTTCAACAAGCGGCATTGAGCGATAGTTTTTTCTGGCATGTTTATTGTCAACTGCGGATCGGGATTTTACTATATTTGACCTTAACTTCTTAGGTGATGTGATGCGCGTCATGCTGGAAGAACTGGAGCGCAGAGATCGAAGACGTTCACAAGTATTAGCTTCAGCGTTTGACTGCTGTTGATCTCTTAACGAAACGTACATAGCTTTGCGTAACTCTTGTTCTTCTTTCCATGATATACCTAAGACGTTATCCTATGAAATGTGAAAAAAAACTAAATTGAAATACTTCTGGACAAGTAGTGTGATTACAAATAGAAGCGTATAACTGAACAGACATAAGTCAAATTGTTATTCGCAAGTATCATGCTACGCACAAGTAGACAATGTCACTTGTTATCTGTAACCAATTTCATTCAAAAACATCATGAAAATAAACTTGCAAATTACTGGCGGCTTGTTATAAAAATGACCATATTTCTCGCCACAGAATTCAGTCAGTTCTAGTCATGACAATAGATTATGAGTACAATAAAAACTTTAACCGACAATTCATCACTGTACAGCGTACTCATTCTACGGTGATCACTACAATCATCGTAGATGATGCATATGTTGTTCAAACTCAGAGCAAGGTGTCTTAACTGTTTTAGCACTTACACAATATAACATGACAATACCGGATGCTTCAGACCTGAAAAAGTCAAGTACACATGCAACGTACTACTCGAAAAAAACCCTGCATAGGATATTTCTACTTCTACCAACTGCTCGTATGATTTAAGAGTATAGAAAAACATTTTTAATTCAAATGGAGGAGACTTACGTCACTAGACTTTGCCAAATTTCTCCTGGGTCGATGACAGCCTTGTTCTGACTGTTGTTCGCGGCGCGCCATCTGAAAGAAATGCAAATATCACTAGGAGGAAACGCTATATACTTCCAAAATAACTATTAAGATTATTCATCTTCCATATGAGTATTGCTTCATCATTTGCCTATTTCCCTTGTGTGTTTTCAAATGAACAACAATATTAAACTGCTAATCAAATTCAACTATCAGTTGACAGATACAGCTTCATATGTATCAATGAGAGACTTATTATACGAAGACTGATGGCATTATCCGAAGATAAAAATCGATGGAAATACGTCTGAACTCGGAGCCAACTGCTGTTTACTCCAACAAAACCCACTCAGACCTCACAAGTGCCTAATTACTCACAAGTGAAGAGAAAAACAACTCGGACTATGCCAAGCAATGAATAACAACTCAAAAACACTGCATATGACTCAACCTGCCCTCTCCAATTAGACAGAGCAATGCTGCTGACCCACCTTGCCTCACTTTAAGCAGTGGTAGATAGTGTAGCTCAATCATACTGACTAAAAGGTTACACAAACTCTCCTAGCTAGGCAACCAGTGAAGCTATTGTAGCTCCTTTAGTTATATCCAGCATATGCGAAGCGAATCATGTGATCGATACGACTATTTATATCAAAAAATAGGCACACTAGGAGGAAACCCACAGTGTCCCACTAAAAAACAGTGGAAATTACTATCAAAGTTAAATAAATGTGTTAGAACATCAAGCATCCAGCTGTCAATCCCCTAATGCATTTCTTGCGTGAGACAGATGTGATTAGTTGTTGCAACACAACATGGTGGCGTAACATAAGGAGCTATAGTGCCTGTAATATGTTTTTGAAGGTTCAATTGAAGTATAAAGACCAGTTAGGTGGAGGCCACACTAATAGTTGTTACCAGTCAAGTGGCTTATTCTATAATTGTGGAGGGGGCTGAGGGAGATATTGTGCTGCAGACGAGAGAGCAGTGACAGTAGTTTGCATCAGGAAAAGTATGTTTACGCGCCCAAAAATATATTTGGCCCAATACTTAATTCTAAAAATTGAAATGTGGTTATTGTGATGCAAATTTCACTGCGTAAACAGGAACTCCATGTCATTAAGTTTTCCAAGTTGTGCTGCTAGCATTAGTTCACAGATAACGGTGATCACTAGGCACAATCATCTACACCATATCTTTACCTTAAGTACGAAACCAAATATGCTTATATGCTCTCTTTATCTACTCTCAAACGGTCATGTATGTCTAATCTTTTTATCCCAAACTTAATGTACGAACATAAAGGGTACTACTTCGGAACACAATATAGTGTTGATGAAACGTACGATTAAAATGCATATGAACTATAATCACCATTTCTACATATTTGCTTTAAGAAGCATAGACAACAGAGAGTATGTAGAAGCAAAACATTTTGTCTCCATGGCTTTTGATATTCTCTTCTTCAATGTCTGCCAGATCACATTCTTGTAAAGCATCTTCTTTGGCATAGAGACGGGGTCTTCTCTGTTGCTTTTGGGTTTTATGTGTGTATCTATGAAGTGTTGGGGTGGCCATTTTCAATTAGTTCAGTGCGTGTTTTGTCTAAAAGAGTCAAGGAACATTATTCCGCTTTACTACAGAAAGGTCACAATGGCCCAATAAGGAGTGCTATATTTAAATATATATTCAACACTGACCACTCAATATGTAAGGAAAATTCACTCAAAGTTAACAACAAATTCAAAAGAGGCCTCCCAATAACTGTAAGATTTCGTATAATCTCCACTCCTTAGTCCTTAGTGATTTGGATGAAAAACCAGGACTTATGTACACAGAAGAAACTTCACCTATTTCTACCTTCGGCATAATTTCAAGCTCATAGAGCTTTGTGCATTTTTTCGCATGACATTTATGAGCGCCGTTTTCTTAACTTACCTCTTGTTCAATTGGTGGATGGTGGCTAGCAGTGGAATCCAGGATGCGCATTTCGTCCTATTTGGGACTTGTCAGCTGGATGTACCTGCATTTCTCAATGAGTGATGATTTTCCCACTGAGGCTCGAACCAAGTGCCAATAGTTTTAAACGCCAAAGCGTTATCCACTAGACCACTTGGGTCACGAGAGCCACCTCTTGTGCAACGGGTCATATTAATTATTGAATTGAATTTTTGATTTTCCCGTCGATTGATTGGACCGAAGTGGTCTAGTGGATAACGCTTTGGCGTTTGAAACTATGGGCACTAGGTTCGAGCCTCGGTGGGAACATCATCACTCACTGAGAAATGCAGGTACATCCAGCTGACGAGTCCCGAACAGGACGAAATGCGCATCCTGGATTCCACTGCTAGCCACCATCCACCAACTGTATACTGATTAAATGCCCAGACATCGTCGAGGCATCTGCACAAGAAGCCAACATGTCAACCTGAGACCGAGCACTTCGGTCCAATCAATCGAAGGGAAAATCAAAAATTCAATTCAATACCTCTTGTTCACCCTCTTCATCGACTACATTATTTATTTTGGTACTTGTTTACATTCTTTTTCATTAACATCCAATCTATTTCATATTAAGCAAAATTAGCGTAGTTACAATTTGGCTACTCATCACTACTGTGAAAGATTTTGGCGTAAACAACACTCCAAACTAATTTGTATTCGTATTCTAGTAACATATAAAATAATTACATATAATTGCGACTGAACTGTTAAGTGAATGAATTCGTTGAAAAGAGACTTCGCTGCACTTAGTTGTTATTTCAATGTCTCACAATCAGACTATTAAATCTACTATAATGAACAGACAGTTGCTATCTGAAATTTATTAATTATTTCCCAAGCAAAACCTAAACATTGTGCTACACACACACACACACACACACTTGAATAACGTCTTCTCCCAGTAGGCAACAGATTTTTGGCATTTACAGAAACTCCGGTGAAACAACTATAGAAACGCCAACATTCCAACATCACACAACTCCCAAAACCATAAGCATAAGTAAAAAACAAATAAGTCTCCACAATAGATTTTCATTTCTTTTGAATAGTTAGAATTTGAGTGATACATATTAATATATGTGTACAACTTGGGCACTGTGGTAGTAAGTAATTCCATATTAGTTTGTAAATAATACTGTCTCACTGCGTGATACATCTAATAAACAAACTAATATTGAGTGATACAGTTATAGAATAAAGATAACAAACAGAGATCTTATCTGCATATTCTGGAGCATGTAACAAGTAATAACCAAAAACAAGACTTTTATGTTGTTCGAGAATTTGTAGGCTCACCTGTTAAATCTACAAAAACCAATACGTTATAATTTACTTACCTGCACGCGTATTCCAACTTACTGCGCAGACTTAAACGCTGCCAGATCTTTCAGTTCGCACTTGTCATCCATACTGAGACGATCCCATCCCTCGTACCATGGATTAAAATCAACGTAAGCGGACTTAGGTTGTTTTACTGGTAAACTAGGTTTCGAATAGCTCTAAAATATTAATCAAACATCACGTTAAACGATCAACGTGCTTTCTAGTCAACAGGAATTACACAAACATCGTTGTCCAGTGTTTACCTACTGTAATAAGAACGACTTAAGGAGCATGACTCACGTGAGTGAACTAATTAACTGTTTACCATTCAACAGGTTTTGAGACAAAAATAATCCCACTAGCGACAAAGGCCTATCACATTTTTTGACCTAAAGGCATCATTCAGTTGAGATATCACAGCAATCTGACCGTAAAGGAAAAATATTATGTCCAGTAAAGCTAGTTATTTGGTCTTCGTGTTCACCATGGCGAGCCTTTAAGGAAACTCAGAAAACATCAAGTTCTACTGTTATTTACAAACGATTCTTGGCAAAGTTAAACTAACATAGCCAAAACCACAGTGATCTTCAACAACCAATCAGGACTCAGATACAAAAAAGTCGCATAATCGTTGAAAAATACACTAGGAAATATTGCGAACTTGACGGTGTAGTTGTTGTAAAAAAGGCTTTCAGCCAATAAACAAATGATCTAAAGAGAAATCGTACCATTTATCCAAGTGACTGTAGACCATGAAGCCTTGAGATCCATTGATATCTCTGACACTTCTCCTACCTACTCCATAACCCTACCTAACTACAAGTAAGCAGATGAAATACCTAGTAAATAAGTAGAATACTGTAGCTATCCTCGTCAAGTCCAAAAAGACGGGTATGATTTGATTTGGAATGATATTTCATAGCATTTCCTGTGTGTGATCCGTACGTGACTGTCAACTTTTGGAAGACCTTAACTTTAAGATGATACTTCGACTTTGCCCGATTATTTGTTTCTTAGCAGCTGCAGTAGCAAGAAGTCCACAGGAATCTGTTGAGAGTATTCCAGAATCCCATGCATTATTTAACATATCAAGCAAAAACATCGGATTACTTTTTAGCAAGCATATTTTAAAATTCATTTAACATGGCCTGATTTGTTCGGTAAATAAGAAAGGACTTACTTATATATACATATATTTATATATCATTAGATAGCAAGCATTTGAAAATTAGAACACTTAAGTGAGAAAAATTGAGTCTTACAACCAGTGACTTTAACTACGTAAAGTTTTTGACTGAGAAGAGGATTAAGCAGTAATGCACCAAACGCGCAAATAAGAAAAGAACTTTGGTCAATCATTCAAGACATTACAAGGTCAATTTATAGTGCTAACTCAGGTTAAAGACAGAAGGATTAGGTAACAGCGTCCAATATTATTTGGATGAACGGCAAACTTTCTTCATAGAGTACCACATTAAAATGTATAATAACACACATAAAAGGATGTAAGAAGGTCCTATAACTTCACTATTTTTCACTCCAAATTAAGCTTAAAGTAAATGAAGCATTCCAGTTTGTTGTTAGATTTGACGGCTTTTCAACCTCACTCACTTCATTGAGAGCTTAAGTTAGCACCACAAATATATCGAGGTGGAAACTCGTCAGAAGCCATTCCAAGGGCTTTCTGTTATTTTTAAGTCAGTATCATTTTCAGTGATGATATGAAGATAAGACAAAAATTGGTAACGCTAGTGAGTGGGTACTACAGACGGCATTGAAATCAAATTAACATAAACCATTCCATTAGCCAGCATGATAATGAGTGCTAATTTTGCTCAAAAAAATACTAAAATAAAAGACTTCACAGTGTAAACAACTACAGTTGATAATTATGATAAACATGTTTTAGTCAAAATTTACACAAACTCACATAGTTCTCACCACCTAGTTTATTGGTAGAGACAAAGAGTTTTACATCTTGACTAAGACGAGAACTGAAGTCCCCGGACATTTTAAGACCTTACAGTAGGCCTGTTGGGCAAGACAGTTTGTTAAGCTACAATGGATATTGGCACACGGCTTATGGAGAGGCTAAGCACTTCAAGGTCACATATGCATATTGTGATTGGTAGATTGTTCTTTCCAATATCCAATATCCAATATCGTTTATACGAGCTAGTATAAACCAATTTGATTTCTTTGTGCTCGCTTCTTGATTGTGAGGTATAGGTTCTTGATCTTCGGTAAACTTCTGCGTAGCTTGTCCCGCCACTCGACTGTCGTAGCTTTGGTTGACTCCAAAGGGAGTAGTGCTGGGATTAATTATATGTGGTTTGTAGTATGAGGTATGTTAAGACTGTTACTACTGTGATTGGAGTTGATCCTTTCGCCAGTTAGTCCTTCGGTATTGTCGACAAGAGAAAAGAGATAGTAATAATAATAATAGTAATAATAATAATAATAGATATAATTAGTGAAGCTATTCAGACTAAGAGACAGAAACGAAAATAGGAAACGTAACAACAGTCAGCTCATGAAGTTTGAAGAATAATATATATATCAGTAATAGTAATAATAATAATAATAGTAATTATAATATTAATAAGTTGTCAGGAGAGTAAGACGGGAGAGAATGTAAAGAAGTAAAATGACGAGTTTAATTATCTACCCTGATTGGTAAATGCGATTTTAAGGAGATAGGCCATTTGGATGCAGTCCTTGTATCGCTGCATGGTTGTCCAGCCTTCGCTTAAAGGCGTCCAAAGACGGTGCCATAGCTACATCTGCCGGTAAGGAATTCCAGGGACGACAAACCCGCAGTGAAAAGAAGTGGGAGCGCACCCGGGTCCTTGCCCTCTGGTGAGCTATCCTTCTGGGATTTCCACGTGGAAGCCTATACCTACTCAATGGCAGAACACCTTTGTTTGGGTGATTCTGGTCATTTGTTATTTTGTAGGCAGTAATCAAATCCCCCCTAAGCCGACGGTAACTAAGTGTGAACAGGCCTAATTTCTTCAGCCTTTCATCATATGGTTTGTTTCGGAGACCAACCACTCCTTTTGTTGCCCGTCGTTGGACTCTTTCCAAGAGGTTGGCATCTCTTCTCAGCATTGGGGGTGCAATAATATTATGCACCTCAAGGTGTGGCCTGACGTATGTTTTGTACAACATTAGAAAGAGCTCAGGAGTGAGTGCACCTAACTGTCTATGCGTAAAGTGTATGACCGCATATGCCCTCGCTACATCCCCTGTGTAATTTACGCTTGTGTCCATTTTTTCCGTTAGAACTAGACCTAAGTCGCGTTCCGACGTTGTGCAGGACAAGCTTTCATTGCACAGGGTGTAACTTGCATTCTGCAGTCTACAGGTGCGCAACTTCACTACTTTGCACTTTTTCAAGTTGAAAGTCATGCCACTGGCCACCGCCCAGTCTTCCAGAAGGTTTAGGTCTTCCTGTAGCCTATCTGAGTCCTCCGGACACTTTATCGCCCTCCATATTTTTACGTCGTCAGCGTACAGGAGAGTCGGGCAGCTCAGACGGCGTGGTAGATCATTGATGAAAATCAAAAACATCAGTGGTCCTAGGATAGAACCCTGCGACACTCCTGATGACGATCTGTGCCAAGATGATCGGACTCGGTTAACCTTAGTGCAAAATTGCCTGTCGGCTAGGTAGTCCTTCAACCATGACAGAAGTGGCTCACCTATGCCTGCCTGGTTTATTTTATGTAGGAGAAGGTCATGGTGAACAGTGTCAAATGCCTTCTCAAAGTCTAGGAAGACCACATGGACTGGTACGTTCAAGTCCCAGCATGATGTCCAGTCGTCCCAAGCTGACAGTAGGTTAGTGACGCAGGATCTGCCTTTTCTGAAACCATGTTGGGCTTCATGCAGTATATTAGTCCTATCGAAATGTTCCCTGATGTGGTCGTCAATAATACTTTCCAGTACTTTTGATACCACTGGGAGTAGAGCTACTGGTCTATAGCTAGCAGCGTTTTGCCTGTCCCCACCCTTGAAGATCGGAGAAAGGATGGCTCTTTTCCACTCCCTTGGCAGGGTCCCCGAATCCATTGAGTGTTGGAACAAGTCGCACAGGGGTCTACAGAGAGCCTCGGCGCACTGTTTCAGAACAGATGGCCTGATGTCATCACAACCTGGGGACTTCCCAGGTATGAGTCGCTGTAGCTTCCTTAGTACTATTGCGGGGTTTATTTGGGGAGTAGTCGCTAGGTCTTCCTCCTCTGAAATAGTGGTGCCACCATTTTGGTCCGTAACTGTAATATCCACATTGCTGTTTAGCTGTTTAGCGAAGGCTGAACAGCTAAACAGCAATGTGGATATTTGTGTAGACGTTGCGTCTAATACGTAGCACACGTTACTGAGACGGGCTTTGAAATGATAATAATGTAGTGGTTGAAATTCAAAAGGAGGCTTCAGTTCAAACCCGGTGGTCGCTGAACACTTATAGCTCGCTTTTTGATTGTAAGGTATAGGTTACTGATCTTCTGTAAACTTCTGCGTAGCTTGTCCCGCCACCCAACTGTCGTAGCTTTGGTTGACTCCAAAGGGAGTAGTGCTGGGATTAATTATATGTGGTTTGTAGTATGAGGTGTGATAAGACTGTTACTACTGTGATTGGAGTTGATCCTTTCGCCAGTTAGTCCTTCGGTATTGTCGACAAGAGAAAAGAGATAGTAATAATAATACTGCTAATAATAGACGTAATTAGCTAAGTTATTCACACTAAGAGACAGAAACGGAAATAGGAAAGCGTAACAACAATCAGCTAATTAAGTTTGAAGAATAATATATATATATATCGGTAATAATAATAATAGTAATAATAACTATAATATTAATAAGTTGTCAGCAGAGTAAGACGGTGTATGCGATTTTAAGGGGATAGGCCATTTGGATGCAGTCCTTGTATTGCTGCATGGTTGTCCAGCCTTCGCTTAAAGGCATCCAAAGACGGTGCCATAGCTACATCTGCCGGTAAAGAATTCCAAGGACGGCAAACCCGCAGTGAAAAGAAGTGGGAGCGCACTCGGGTCCTTGCCCTCTGGTGAGCTATCCTTCTGGGATTTCCACGTGGGAGCCAATACCTACTCAATGGCAGAACACCTTTGTTTCGGTGATTCTGGTCATTTGTCATTTTGTAGGCAGTAATCAAATCCCCCACCAAGCTGACGGTAGCTAAGTGTGAGCAGGCCTAACTTCTTCAGCCTTTCATCATATGGTTTGTTTCGGAGACCAACCGCTCCTTTTGTTGCCCGTCGTCGGACTCTTTCCAATAGGTTGGCGTCTCTTCTCAGCATTGGGGGTGCAATAATATTATGCACCCCAAGGTGTGGCCTGACGTATGTTTTGTACAGCCTTAGAAAGAGCTCAGGAGTGAGTGCACCTGTCTATGCTTCGGTTGGTAATTATATAGTGTTTCGGGCGAAGTTCAACAATAGGGTCCCAGGAAGTGATCGCCCCAATGACATTGAACGCAGGCTAGTCGTTGTCTAACGGCGTCTGTTATGAAATATCAACACTATTCACCGACTGTCAATGGAGTTGAAGACTGAACGATCAATTCTAGGTTGTTTGCTCAAAATCAACTTCCCCAATTTTCGCGGAGGCATCAATACGACAGTCATCGTCTCATCGGTCGCTGTTCAGAAAGAAGTCAGCAGTAAACCATCAGAAGTAATATTTTGATTTATTATTGTAATATTTGTTCACAGACCTTAGTTCAATTATTATTTTTGTATGTTGGTGTAACAATAAAGAATTCTCAAGCGGCCAATCGGTGTTTTGGTTTTTTCGTCCGTTACAACTAAGCATTTCTGAAAACTTCAAGGAACAGCGTGGGCCCGAGCGTAGCGAGAGCTGGGCATTAACGGTTTATGAGACGTGGCTGACACCAACCAAAGAGCAAATTTCACCCAGAACACGTTTTAAGCACTGTTTGAACAATGTGTTAATAGCCCGTTAGGGTTAGGATTAGGGCTAAGGTAGGTATTGGAGTTAGGGTTGGGATAAGGGTTATAATTAGCATCAGGGTTAGAATTACGGTTTCGATAAGGGTTGCGCTTCGGGTTAGGATTAAGTTTAGGGTTAGTGTTAGGATCAGGATTAAGCTTATGGTTACGATTAGGGATAGATTTATAGTTGATGTCATTTATTTTAAATTGTTCTATTATCCACGTTTTCCTGGTAAGTAGTCATCTATCCTCTTGCTGGAAACCATAATAATTCAACCGAGGGCTGTTTTGAAAGAATGCAAGCAGGATGAGAGAGATAAACGATTCACAAAAACTATTCATCTGTAGTCATCTCGGTGAATACATCTACAGAAACTAGTCCAACTTAGCGAATGATACTCCTCGATGTAACTAGGACGTATTTATAAGCTATGTCAGAGAAAGATAACATGTCAAAGCGTTTTCTTGTCAATGTACCTCAGTTTCTGAGCAAGCATTCCTCATATTTATGATTGGTCAGCTGAAGGTCACTCGTGCGTTCGCAATCCTGGGACGCTACTGTTGAACTCTACCGTGTTTCGACCCGAATCTGTGTTCTGCTTTCCACGTCTTATCCAGCGTGCTTGATATATTTATTATTGTTTATGCTGTCCTATTACAGAACATGGCGAGTCTACGAAACTCGTCGAAATCTATGCGAGAGATGAAGAACTTGCAATCTGTTGATAATGCCCAAACCTGTGACCGGGAAGACAATTCCAGAGCGCCACCGTAGATGTCATCAACCCCACCGACAACGTCGACCTCCACGCCTGCTCCGGACATGATTCAAGCAATGGTTGCAGCTTTCCGAATATCGTTGATGACTACTGATACACTAGCACAGTCCTCCAGTACCAAACCTAAAGTTAAATTCCCTGCACCGGAAAAGTTTGTTCCCAAGGAATCTTCCACCTTGTGGGAGGAGCAATGTTGCCGCTTTATACTGCAGCTTGACGAAGACCAAAGAGCTAGCGCTATTATCTGCTTGTTGCCGATACCTGCACTGAAACGCCTCAAGCTAGATGGCGTTGACACCGACCAGAAGATGGGAGTTGAGGAGCTATTCACAGTCATGCGTCGAAAATTTGCGCCGCATACCAATTGTCAGC